TACTGTTCGCGCCAATCAAAGCATGCGGCTATATTGATACATAAACAAAAAATCATCAATCGATTTATTATAAAATTAAAACTCAAATCATTCAACACGGAATAAAACCATATTAAATTATTATAAATACGATGTAATTTATGTAATTAAAGTAAAATAAATATTACTAGTTACAAAATCAAAGTATTTACAATCGGTCCTTCGAAAAGCAAAATTCAATTCAACCTAAAAAACATTGGTCCTTCGAGTCGAATTGACATCCAGCAGTCGAAGAAGATACAAGACATCAATTGGAGCCAAAGGAGCAGAAATCAGGTCACTTAAAACTAACCATTTTTACAATTATAATCCACGTCAAAATGGAATCGTTAAAATCATTAAAACTGAAGCAAAGAGGAATGAAATCGCGATTAACAAGATATGAGAAAATATGCAAACAAATGGCAGAAACACCTACTTCTGAGTTAGATATTTTAGATATAAACAGCCATGTCGAAGAGGTAAGGCCATTATTTGAAATATTCGAAAACACCATTATCAATATAACAACGCTATTAGAAGACGAAGATGAAATAAATAAGTTAATGGATATCGAATTAGATGAATACTTTGAAAAATATAAAAGGTGCCTATCAACTTTATTAAAATTCAGTCAAATAGCACAAAATAAGTCAGATATTAATTCAAACAACTTTAATGATTCTAATATGACAAATAGTCTTAACAACATTAAATTGCCTCAGATTAATTTGCCTCAGTTTGACGGCTCTTATTTAAACTGGTTACAATTTTACGATTCATTTTCTTGTTTAATTCACAAAGACTCAAACATAGGCAATGCCCAAAAATTTTATTATTTAAAATCGTGCCTAAAGGGGGATGCTGCTAATCTCATAGAATCACTACCGGCAACGGCCGATAATTATATTATTGCGTGGGACTTATTAAAAACGCGGTTTGAAAACAAGAAAATAATCGTAAATAACCATATTAAAAAATTATTTGATCATCCAGCCATGCACAATGAATCGGGTAAGGATCTTCGCAATTTAATAGATACGTTTAATAAGCATTTAAGATGTCTAAAAATGTTGCAACAACCGGTAGACCAGTGGGACGCCCTGATTAATTATTTAATCATGACAAAAATAGACAAAAAAACTCACCAAGAGTGGGAAATGCTCATGAATAGAGGGTCAGAATTAGTTACGTTTGCCGAACTCAATAACTTTCTAAATCAACGTTGTATGACGTTAGAAGCTATAAACCCAACTGAGACAAGAACCGGAAATTTCAATAATTTTAAAGACATAAAAACTAATTTCGAAAAACAACGAAGTCTTACGATACATCAACCAATTGCAAAAATATTTGTCTGTTTTGCAATGGGACTTATCATTCGGCATATAAATGCCCAAAGTTTCGATCACTATCTACAGAAGATAGAATAATTAAAGCAAAAGAACTAAAATTATGCATTAATTGTTTACGGTGTAATCATAATGTTAGTCAATGCCTTTCATCGAGTCGATGTACCTTTTGCAATTTAAATCACCATAGTCTCTTACACAGAAATTCAAACCAACCACAGACTCTTGATACACCACAAATTATTTCATGTCATTCTGCCGGTAACATACCTCTTAATTCTTCACATTCATTTTTAATATGCAATCGTAGATCTAATGTAAAAGCGCAAGAAAATAGAATTTGGGATTTGAAAGCAAGCAATGACATACAATATTTTAATAAAACGAAAACACAACGCAAACAACATTTTTCTAATAGGACTACGACAAATGAAGGAAGAAGGTTTGTTATTACAACACCATTTACAAATTATATAAAAAACAATGCGAATTGTAAATGCTATAGTTCACGCACAAATGATTTACGAACAAATCAAAATCTATTTACCAAAGATAAAAACTTTATGAATACTTATATGTCACTAGGAAATAGAAGCATAGCTAGTGAATGTATCAAACCCAAAACAAGTTTTATTGGCCTAATCACGGTGTGTTTAAAACCAGACAGTTTTTCCAAAGGAATACGAAATTATCGTAATTTATTCTAAAACCGATTCATATTCCATACAATAACATAATCTAATTACTATCTAATTCATTTATATAGTGGCAAGGCCCATTTTGAAACACAGCAAGACACAACATGATACATTCAAGCATGACATAGACATAATTATGAACTTCAAAACTAAAATCACTAACTACCAAAGAATCACCCATTAACTGTTCTGATAACTAGACATGAGTATTTAAAATTGTATCATTGCGGAACACAAATACTATAAAATACAATGCGTAATACCTATTGGCCTATCGGAAGCAGTAACTTTACAAGATTAATCCTAAAAAATGTGTAATATGCTTAAAAGTAAAACCCACATGGATTCATCCATTAATGCTATAATAATCAATTACACCTTTTTTATATGCGGAGTAGATTACGGAGGTCCTGTCTTAATAAGAGATCGTCAAACAAGAGGGTACAAAAAATTAAAGACTTATATATGCTTATTTGTATGTTTTGTTACGAAAGCAATTCATCATGAATTAGTATCTGATTTAACGACGAATAGTTTCATGGCAACATTAAAACGATTTATGGCACGACATGGCAAACCTCGCGGAATCTATTCAGATAATGGAACGAATTTCATAGGCGCAACTTCTGGATTAAAGAAATCTTATAAATTTTCACAAAAAGTCAAATCAAAACCAGATTAGTAATAAAATGACCAACGAAGGTGTATTATGGAAGCACATTCCACCGAATTCTGTTTTTTTCGGAGGAATTTGGGAAGCAACCATAAGGTCATGCAAGATATTAATGAAGAATCCTAACCTTCGAGGAATTTTATGTGATTCTGACACAGATCAAAGCAATGTTTGTATACTCAAGACCAATTTCTTCTTGAAGCTCATATCCTAACGATTTAATGAAGATTATTAATTATTTTGAAATCTACATTTCAAGGCCGGGAGAATGTTCGCGCCAATCAAAGCATGCGGCTATATTGATACATAAACAAAAAATCATCAATCGATTTATTATAAAATTAAAACTCAAATCATTCAACACGGAATAAAACCATATTAAATTATTATAAATACGATGTAATTTATGTAATTAAAGTAAAATAAATATTACTAGTTACAAAATCAAAGTATTTACAATCGGTCCTTCGAAAAGCAAAATTCAATTCAACCTAAAAAACAGATACTATATGTCTAAAAGAGGTTTGCTATGTTTGCAAAGTTTGCAATTATAATAAATTAAATATAATAATTAATAATTATTGAAAAATAATTTATTATTATTTAAGGCTTATGATTATTTTTACAAAAGTATTCAGATTAAGATCATGTTTATTTATCTATGATTAATATTATATATAACAAAAAAATTCAAGCCCTCACTGCTTTGAGGCGTTTGTTTGGAATTATTCGCGTTCGTTCGTGTTCCTGTTCGTTCTTCTTTGTATTTTCTTGCTCGTCATGTTCGTTCGTGTTCGTTCGTTAGGTGTGGACGCACCTTTATATGAAGTAGAACTGCCAACTGTCAAACATTTGCCATCTCAAAAATAATTGCTGGAAACGCGAAAGTATATTTATTTCATGATAATCATATTATTTTTATCTGAGAATATAAATGTGAGACATATTTTAAAAATATAACAGTAAAAATATAACAAGCAAAAAAAGTTAGTAAATTTGAAAAATCATCGATATTTGGATGTTGAAAATATCGATAGTATATTATCGAAGAGCACAGAAGGTTAGGTTATGTGTTGCACGCTCAATGAGTCAAGATTGCGTTAATGTTTTAGTAGTACACGTGTTGTGAGGACTGTTTTTAGAATTATTAATTGTATTTTAATTGCATCAATACTTTATCTAGTGACAATGGCAGAGGAAAACGGTTCCACTGATACGAAAGTAGAAAACACATCTGAAACTGTAGCAACAGAGAAGACTGTCGAAGAATTAAAATCGGAGAACAAAGTAAGTGATGAAGAAATTTCAGATCTTGAAAAAAACATCATTCGCCAAGTTGAGTATTACTTTGGAGACAGCAACTTGCCCAGAGATAAATTCCTCCAAGAACAGATAAAATTAGATGATGGATGGATTTCTCTTACAGTTTTACTTACTTTTAAGAGGTTATCTAGCATGACCACAAATCAAGAGGTAATTGCTAAAGCTTTACTTAAGTCTACTAATGATCTCTTAGAAGTTTCTGAAGATCACTCTAAGGTCAGGCGTTCTTTGGCAAAGCCTGTTCCTGAAATGAATGAAGAAAGGCGTAAAGCATTGATGTCCAGAACTGTATATGCTAAAGGTTTTCCTTTAGATGCTAAGCTGGACAGTATATTAGACTTTTTTAAAGATTATGAGTTTGTAGAAAATGTTATAATGCGTACATATTTAGATAAAGTAAACAAAAAGTATTGTTTTAAGGGAAGCGTTTTTGCTACATTTGCCACTGAAGAGCAATCTAAAAAGTTTTTAGAGATTGAAAAAGTTACTTACTTAGACCAAGAACTGTTATGTATGTCACAGAATGATTACCACGAAATGAAAAAAAATGAAAGGTCTTCCGGTAAGAATAAATCCAAAAAAGCTGAAGAAGATACTAAAGAAGCTTTTCGTCCTCCTAATGGAACAGTAATTTTCTTAGAAGGCTTGCCAGAAAATGCAACTCGTGAAGATATCAAAGAAGTGTTCATTGAACTAGAGGCAGAAGTTGCATATGTAGATTACAATAAAGGTGATAAATCTGGTTGGATAAGGTTCCACAATGAAGACAGTGGTAAAGAGATTATTAAAAAAATAACTGATGGCAAACTCAAAATCTGTGATTCTGAAGTAACAGCTAGATTATTAGAAGGTGAAGAAGAAACAAAGTTTTTAGATAAAGTCGTTGAAGACATGAAAAATTACAGACAAAAACAATCACATGGCCGCAAGGGACGTGGTGGTAGAGGTGGTGGCAGAGGAGGTAGAGGTGGTTGGAATAACAGGAAACGCAAAGCAGATGGTGAAAATGGAGGTCCACCTGCTAAACAATAAATATCGCTGAAAAATATCATCTTTTTTAATTTAATGTATGATAAGGACATGAAATTTATTTAATGAAAATATTTTATGTTGTAATAGTTGCTAATGTATAATTATAATAAATATGAATACATGTTATATCTGAATTTTTATAAAACAATTTTTTTTATTACATTTTCAAATTTAACTTAGCTATAAGAAATATTTTTGTCATATGATTCACATAATTAATAAGAAGTAATCTATGATTTGCTTTATATTCCTATTATGTTTTTATTTCTCAAGTACATCCTGTTTTTATTGTATTTTGTAATCTTCACCTTTTTACAATCCAGGATTGCTATTTTTATTTTCTATTCATATTTTTTTGCCAGAACATGTGAATCATTCTTATTGCTATTATTCTTTTGAATTTTTTAATAATCTGAACAGGTTTACAGTTATATATATATATATATATATATATATATATATATATATATTTAAATTCATTTTATTTTCATATTCAGAAAATCTATTTGCACAAAATTGTCAAGAACTTATTGATATTTTCATTAATTTGATAAGAACCGGATAATATATGTAAGATGATGACATTTTGCATAAAATATACTTTTTTAGCTTTGTAAATTCATCTGACAAATATTTCCTTGGGATATATACCCAAAAATATTCAAGAATGAACATTCTACTGCAGGTTTAATTACATGAACATCTTTTTAGACTTATTCCTTTTTTATCACAAAGCAAATTACGTAATTTGACTGTTTTTCCCTGTGTAATAAGTTATTGAAATTTATATTATAAATAATATAATAATTCTAATTGAACTATTCGAGATACATGCTAAAGTTTGAAAATTAATGACGAATGACTGTACGTACAGGAAAGGTTGTTCATCCCTGAGTTTCTCGAATATTAAATGATTTACATGTTTAGTTGATTAATACTATTCCTATGTAATTTGCTATAAGTTTTATGAAGCAGCTCAGATAAAATACTATTTATGTATTACACGAAGCCCCAATGAGGCCCCACAGCCTCAGAGTACATGTTCGACAGTTTTTACTTGTCTTGTGACTGTGACTGTACTCGTACTGTCAACATACTTGAAGTGTGCAGTTTCATGCAAACTTCTACATTGTCATTCTCGAACCCAAATGACTTACCTATTGTTTTCTTTAAGTAAAACAATGATTGTGCTAAATTAGCAAAAGCGTTCAAATTTTATTATTATAATTAGGAACTGTTGTTTTTAGTGACTGTTATTATCCAATTCTAATCAAAAATGACAGACACACCTGATAATGCCCGAATTACTACCATGGTTGAAGATGTTTTTGCAATAACATTAAACCCAGAAAAATTTGTGGACTGTGAACAAAAACCAGATTATATTCAAATGATTTATCTAGAAGAACTAGCAGAAAGTTTGAAGCCGCAAAAACACATTGACATTGAGACTTTAGAACAAGCTCTTTTTGAAAGGTTGATGCTAACAAATATCACAGAATTTGTGTTACCAAAATCCAGTAAGCCCCCATATATAGATTATGTAGTTCAGAATAAAGCAATTCTCTATTTAAATACTGCTTATGAAAGACTTAAGAAGTACAATGCATCAAAAGACAAATTTGTAATTAATATTGTGGAAAATATGAAATCACTTATTTTGCGTAATGTGTGTACTGCCATGGAGCAACCAGACATATTTCAAGATCAAGTAATTTGGCAGCAATGGTTTGATATTCTTAAGGATAATCTTGATAATTCCGGATCAATTCCAGGTTTTGTTTTAGATGTTATAGCTGCCCTAGATAAGCAAGGTGATATACTAATTACAAACATATGTGTTACATATGAATGTATATATTAATGGTAATGGTATATATATAAATGACAAACATATTTATTTTGCTCTATATTAAGAATCAACAATGACACTTTTTTAAATGTTTTTATTACAACAATTTTTATTTGAACATCATGTTCAAATTACAAACCAATTATCTTTTATTGATCTTCATTTGAATACCCTATTTTTTACTTTAATTTTTCATTAATCTATTAGTTTCAAATGATTTTTCAACATTCTATATGTATAATCTTTAATACAATCTTACTTTTTACACTATTGGCGTTTACATTGTTTACAATATCTCTGATTTTTTATATTAAAATATTACTTTTATCAAAAATATTACTTTTGCGTACATTGTACAAACATATACATGATATATGGTTTCCAAAATAGTTTTTGTTTCGAATATTGCATACATTTCTAAGGATAACTTCATAATTTACTTGAAAACTCAATGAAAGTACTGAAAAGACTATTTATGAAAGTACTGAAAGACTATTTACTTAACTATGAATAATGTTATTAGCTTCTATGAATACATCTCTATATGGTACTACTTATCATATTTCTCTTTATTAGATAATGGTTTTGAAATATTGAAGGGAGCATTTACACCAATTCTCATTCATGTGCATAGAATGATTGCTGGAGCCAACTTGATAAACTTGGAATATTGGACATACACATTTGTTCTAACATTTGCCTCTCATATTTCTTTAGCTAAAGTTCTTTTAGAATATGCAACTCCGAAATCCAATGGTTTGTATCAAGATGTTATATTTTACTTAATAAGAATATGTATTGTAACATAATGATTATGTTTATTTAGATGGTAGAGCTTATGCAGAAACAATATTTGGATCATTTTTGTCCTTATCAATTTTGCCCAAAAGTCCTTTTGCTCCATATGAATATTTTGAAAATCCACTAGAAATGGTATGATATAATATTATTATTGCTTCATTCCATTATAAATATATTCAATTTTTGCTTACATAAGTAAAATGTTTTTGATTATATTATTGTTATAAAGTTCAATATAATTTAATACCATGAAATGTCTTGATAGTTCAAGACAAGGTTTTACACTATTTTTTGTATAAACCATTGTTATGAGCAGATTTTAAAGCCTTTAAATATTTTTCATGTTTTTCATCTATTTGTTCAATAACATTCTGTTAATTACATTTAGCAAATTCGAAATCCAATGGAAGGAACACTGTGGTCAGCATTGGAGAATCTAGGTGATCAAATGCATGGAATATTTTTAAAATTACTAAGATTAGGCGGTGAAATAAGATCAAAAACTTTGGATTGGTTAGGTGCTTGTTTACATAGTAACAACAGTAGGGGACAAATATGGAGCACACAGGTAAAGATATTATTGTATTTTTCGATAAATCTTAAATAATTCAGATTTTAAGATAAATGATTTTATTTATATGAAATTTGAATGAAATGTGTTTTACCATATTCTTTCAGAAAATGTAAAACAATTTTACATTATGTATCAAATGTATCTCAAGATGCTTTTATATGCTTCATACATTTGCAATTCGAGACACTGCAGTTTTAAGCCTTAAAGTATACTGCAACCACATTTTTATGATTTATTCTGATTAGAAATTAAATGCCTACTTTTATGGGATTTTTTTTAAAACATGCTAACAATAAGAAACAAATTTAACTAAGTTTAGCTTAATTGGATTATTTTTATACCTGCAATGTAAAATTGGCTTAAATTTTTGCCCATGCAATTACTGTTTTACTGATGTATTGTTTCTGTTAAAAATTGGATTCTGTTTTTATTAATTATCAAAATTCTCAGAAATAATTGCATGTTAAACATTATTCTTTAATTGAAATAAGTTAATTAATTTTATTCTGTAGATAATGGATATTGATCCAACATTAGGAACTTATGTTAGTGATGCATTTATGTTGAACATGGGTGCAGTGATGTTGAGAATGTGTCGCCCGTTTTGTAAGGATTACAGAGATGGCAAAGCTCTGAGGATAGACCCCACATATGGAGCTGTCGAGGTTAGTAATAACTGAAAACTAAATTATTCATGTGCTCAATAGTGCAATAACATAGTCACTTTGAATGCTCAAGGTCTTATTGACTAGAATATTAACTGCATATTTTAATAAAGAAAATATTTATAATTTCAGGAGCAAGATAGGGAATCAAAAGGTGTACATATGAAAGCATTATGTAATGATACCTGTTTATTGCCAACATTGGATGGTACAGTTAGGCCTACTTCTGATCAATACAGTTTTACAACTGAATGTTATTTTATGACTCAAAAATGTTTGGACATTGGTATGTATCCATTAATTTTGATACAGATATTATTTAAATTTTTACTCATTATTTATATTTTAGGTTACAGAGTATGTGTAGAAAGATTAACAAAGCAAAATCAAGATATAGCTCGCATACAAAGAGCTTATAATGATGCAAGAGAACAGGGTTCGCCTGCTGCGAATCATTTGTTACAAAGGATGACACAGGATATGACAAAGTATGATTGATAATATAGATTCTTTAATTTTTTTATAATACAATGATAAATAAATTACAAAGTACATACAGTTATATTTCTAACATAATATTGCCAAAAATATTTATTTTTTGTATTTGATATTAGGCTATTTAATATTTATCATTATTATTGTACTATTTGTTTATTATTATAGATTAATGTTGAATTCCAATTATTTTCTGATAAAAATATTTCGAATATAAATCTATAGCACAATAAACATTTCCATAATGTTTTCAAAAATTAATAAAAATTAACAAAAAACTATATTGAAAGAAAACACTTTATAATAAATATATATAATATTAAATTTAGACTAAATTGATACATTTAATACTTATTATACTTATAGATATACTGTGCTTATAATAATATCAAGTTTCAGTCTAATAAGAATATATTTCTCTATAGTAAGAAAGAATATATTACTTCAGTAAATGTTTCCTACTATAGAGAAATATATTCTTATTAGACTGCAACTTGACTTTATTATGACTTATGATATCTATAAGTATAACAAGTATTAAATATATTTATTTTAAAGGATTTTTTCAATATAGTTCTCTGTTAGTTTTTATTAATTTTTGTTTGTTCTTCTATACATTATGGTGTTTTTTTATTGTACTATAGATCTACATTCGTAATATTCTTATTACAAAATGATTGGAATTCAATATTAATCTTTAATAATAAATAAATAGTACAATAATAATAATAACAAATATTAAATAGCCTAACATCAAACACAAAAAATGAATATTTCTGACAATATTATGTTAGAAATATAAATGTTTGCTCATATATGCCTTTTTAGAACTTATTTCTTTATATTGCAGTGTATAATATTGTTATTGGAATTTATAAATTTTTTTGAGCATCAGTTTTAAAAAATAACATTATTAATGAATGCAAAGAAATAATTGCTTACACTGTTATGATATATATGAGAATTAACTGTTATGATAATATATCAATTAACATTTATTGTTTATATATATTGTTATTGCTATTATATATATTATTATTTGAACAGGTATCTCTCACTGCGCAGTACTCTGTTTGAACCTAGTATGTTGCAACTTCTGCAAGAATTACATACCTCGACTGCTACATGGATAACTCAGGTTTCAATTAACAATGAGTTAAATGAAATGCAGAACACTAGCTCAGACCAGCTAGCCAACCAGGCAGAGAAGATTCAAAAAGTGTTGAACTATGCCCCAATGAAGTTCAGAGAAATTATTTTTCCTTTATCAGAATCTGTTCCTGATACATTGAGGTAAAGTTTGTTGTTGATTTATTTTATTAATGAAATCATGTGAATTTTTGATTTACAAGTTGATGTATTTTTTATATGGAATTTGATGTTTTGATGATGAAGAATAATAACTTTGATCTTTTGATATTAATACAACAATTGTTATATACATCATAGTTAAAACAATTTTATGGTTTAGGATTATTAACTTTCAGGTGCGTTCCAGAATTCATCATAGAAAATACAATATGTTTCCATCCATTTGTGCGTCATTTTAATAATGTGGATTTTGTGATTGATGAGAGAGCGGGTTCCCTAGAGCCAATTTTAACTATGGTTTTAGTATTCATGGGTTCTGACAGCAGAATGGTGAACCCTCATCTTAGAGCAAAATTAGCTGAATGTTTAGAATCAATGTTACCAAGTCTCAAGGAGGACCATGCATTACATCCAATGATGCAGGCAAATAACCCTTTAAATACTTTTGCCAGACAAAGATTGTTCACAGAACATCCGCATAGGCTGCAGGTAATTTATTGTGTTTATTAACAGAATATATTAGTAATGGATATATTTATAATATAAGATACATATGTATTTAAAACTTCAAATATGTACCCCGTTAATTATTCATTAATTAATGAAGAGTATTTAATTTTTAATTATTGTAACTTTTATAGATTATTTCAAGTTTGTTAAACGTATTTGTTGGCATAGAAATGACAGGCCAAAGTGTTCAGTTCGAACAGAAATTTAACTATAGAAGACCAATGTATGTGGTCATGGATTATTTGTGGCAGATAGAAGAACACCGAAAATGTTTCCAGTAAATAGATATTATAAACATTGAATTAAATATATATATATATATATATATATATATATATATATATATATATATAGATTACGTGTACTCAATATTATTATGTGTTATAGTAATCTTGCACTTGATGCAGAACAAAATATGGAAGCTACAGATCCTCCACTATTTTTGCGTTTTGCAAATCTTTTGTTGAATGATGCTGTATTTCTACTAGATGAATCCTTGTCAAACATGGCTCAGTTGAGGACAATGCAGGCAGCAAGGTAAAAAAATAAAATAACAATCCAATTTATTAAAATCTTATGGGATAAAATTGTTTTAATTTGACTTATTTGATATATTAACAGTAACTTTAGTTTTTTTTTTTGTTTTCAGAGGATTTTTGTTAACATCTGCTAATATATATATATTTAATTAATTTTTTAACTATAAATAGTTAAAGTATTTTTATAAGATTTAGTTAATGTTTTATCAATTTTCTTATGCATGTTTTTATTTCTTCTCTCTTACTGTTTAAATACTGCAACACATCTTAATACTAACTATTATAACAATATCTTTATTATTTATTACAATATTTTCTGTAGATTGAATGGCGAGTGGAACAACTTGTCCATGCCTGAACGTGAGCAGAACATTGGAAATTTGCAAAGGATTGGAATGATGGCTAGATTTGACAATATTTTGGGTCGTGAAACTATTCATACAATTCAGTATTTAACAAGTGAGGTCAAAGGCGTTTTTTGTCACAATTCCATGGTTGATCGCGTCGCTTCTATGCTCAACTATTTTTTACTGCATTTAGTTGGACCAAATAAAAAAAATTTTAAGGTAAAAGGATAAAACATGATGAATGCTGTTTAAAAACTGACCTGCTTTCAACTCATTCATGTTATATGTTTTCAGGTGAAGGATAGTCAAGAGTATGATTTTGAACCAGCAAATATAGTTCTTAATATATCGCGCATTTATGTAAATTTATCAGATAGTGATGCATTTTGTTTAGCTGTTTCGCAAGACGGCAGATCTTATAGTCAACAATTGTTTGTCCAAGCTGAAGATGTGTTGGGTAATAAATATAAATTTAATAGATACATCAGAATATTTATGTAGAGTAATTTTATGATAGATGCATATTTTATAAAAGTTAATTAAATAATTATGATTGTTACCTGGATTTCACACTCAGAAGAATTAGTATTTAATTTTGTTATTATTTGTTTTACACTTAAGTATCGCAAAATTCAATAATCCAAGTAATTATTTCAAATTTTCACACATAATCAAAGAGAAAAAAGTTGATCTTTTATTGAATTTTTTAAAGCACGCATCGGCGGCGGTCCTTTGATTGGAGATTTGCGAATAGTAGCTGAGAGGGTACACACTCTTGCTGAAAAGCAACAGAGGGAAGAGGAAGCATTAGCCGAAGCTCCTGAAGAATTCTTGGATCCTATTATGTCTACATTGATGACTGATCCTGTAATACTTCCTAGTTCAAGAACGACTGTTGATAGAGCTACCATTGCCAGGTAAATTTTATTCTTCATAGTAAGACATTGATACACATACACACACACACACACACACACATATATATATATATATATATATATATATATATAATGTGGAGTTTATAAATTATATAAATATATCTTTCATATATATTAGGAAGATATATTTATATGTTAGAAATCACACAAACTTGAAATTAACATACCAATAGATTCCGTTTTTAAATAAATTTAAAATTTAAATATAATAGAACTATATATTATATTTATTTATAGAATAGAACTATAATTTGATCTGACAGCATATATTTCCTGTATCATTTTCAGGCATTTGCTAAGTGATCAAACGGATCCATTCAATCGCTCACCATTAAGCATGGACTTAGTAAAGTCTAACACGGAGTTAAAGCAAAGAATAGAAGAGTGGATAAAAGAAAGAAAGAAGAACGCCAATTCGGAAAATTCAACAGAACCTATGAATTTAGATTAAGCTATATATAAGTTATATATATATATATATATATATATATATATATATATGTATATAGTAAGGATTTACTTATAAATATATATATATATAAATATAAAGCATAGTTCATGTATATATTTGGACCATCTTATATTGAATAAGAATTTTTGAAAATGTCTGATTTGTATATATTTATATTATACTTGTTATTTAACAAAAAATAAACAAAGATCTAAAGATTTAATTAGTACTTATTTTTTAATGATTATAAGTGTTTTTATAAAATATTATAAATATAAAATAAGCAAAAAGTGAAACATTTTATATGTATTATATCAAATATGCAAAATGGATATATTAGGTCAAGCATTTGTCACAAAACGTGTATATACACTCATGCTTTAATACAATTATATTTGAAGCGCCTGATATATAATTATAGCTTGTGTTGGAGCTTGTGAAGAATTTAGTTCTACATTCAAATCTACAATTTTTTATATAAAAATTTATCTGTCACACATCCGTATATATACAAATCTTACTTTGGAAAAAAAATGTGGAAAAAAAATTTTGGAAAAGGAAATTTTTGGAAAAAGTGTTACCAGTCTATATAAATATATATTCTGTGCTCTATGTTTAATTTTTGTTGTAAATATTTTTGAAATATATCAACAGTCTGTGCTGTCTAGTGTCAGACAATATAATAATATTAATATCTATGTTTACTTATCTATGATTAATATAATGGTCTAGTACTTGGTTGAACAAGTGACTTTATCATAATAACAATTATTCATAGAATAAATTTTTATAATTTAACTATCATAGAATTTAAGTTGAAGTGTGTTTCTTGTGAAAATATGATTTAGGTAAGTACAAAATAATATTTGATATTTTAATTTTAAGGGACAGTGGTTCGTGTTTATTTATTTATAAATATTTTGGCAAACTGTTGGGCATAATTTTAAACAAATATTTGTTAAAAACATTTCCAATGCATTGTGATATTGATTCAGGTTCAAAACAATTTTAATACATGAATTTGTTACTTTAAACGTCAAAATTGAATTATATTGTTTAAGGTTAAACGTCAAATGTCAAACATCAAATGTCAAAATTGACAGTTGTTTTCAGGTTAAAAATGTCTGTTGTGACATGTTTATTTTCAAATGTTTATTTTAAAATTGTTAATGAATATTTTATTTGAAAGCAAAACCACAAAAACTTAGTGAAAAAATCCGTGGATAGATATCTTTGAAATAATCAAGTAGAACAGGTCAGATTTAGTTCATTTTTTCTTACCTTTCCAAAACTTCTCAAAATCAGAAATATTTCAAAAGAGGAAAATACTTTTTTTTATTGTTCAAACAAATATTAATAGTCGTTATATAACAAATATAAGGAAATACGTTTTTGAATGTTTTTTTTGAAAATAAATATTTGTGTATTAATAGTCGTGTTAATAATATTTATTAAAAGTTCAGTTGTTATTAATAATTCAATATATTTACATCATAAATGGGCCAAAATACATAAATGCTCTTTATAAGTAATGTTTGTTCTTTTGAATCATAAGTGCCATTTTCAATTAAATTAATTAATTAATTAATTTAATGTCTAATGTTAATGAAATATTTGAGAAATTTGCATAAAATTAAATTACCAACAATTTTTTTTAATATTTGAATACTTTAAAATATTATTCAAAAGCAAAATAAGGATTTTAGCGAGCTAACAGTACAATCATGTTTTAACAATATTTATGAATCATCAACCATATTGAATCCATAAACTATCCACGGTTGAACCTCAAATTTAAACGTAATATGTAGATTTGCCACTTTTTTTTACTTTTCTTCAAATAAGTTTTAATTTTCTTTTCGGACAATTTAATTTATTTACATTAGTGAAAACTAGATAAAACTTACTAAAATTTAGCGCAAACTAGTATATATACTTGGATACTAAAATTCCTGTAATTTTTAACTGAAACGCGAATTTGTATCTGTGTACATTTTATCAAACAACTTGAAAATTTTGTTTTAGGCATTTCAATTTATCCATATTAGTAAAAAATAGATAAAATTCAGATTTATAATTACTGAACCATATTAAAAACAAAGACTGCTATTCATGATTTTTGTTAAACACATTCTACTCAATTTGAAAATAATATAGAATTATTCGATTATAATAAATGATGTATTCTACAAATTTATTTGAAGTTGAATCTATGGATTACTATCCACGCATTTTTTAAACTTTGGAAATGATCCTATTTTAGATGTATATCCTTAGAATAATTTTTAAATCTTATTACAGGTGCTTTGACTTAAAAGAATGCCTTAAAAGGAACCTTACAACCTAGGTCACCCCTATAGTAGAGGAAAAATATAATCAACAACTAATTGGACAAAGTCTTTTTGATAAAAAGGACAAAATTATCCTGTTTGATGAGCTTTCAGGGCGTGTATCACTGCAAAACATCGAAAACTTTGGTTCCAACATCGTAATTTTAGCAAAAAAAATGGATTTGTTTTCGCAATTTTCGAAATGTTTTGATTGATTCCGAAAGATTTTGGGACGCTGATTTCAAAAATGCTATCTATTTTGGGATAAACACACATACACCCCGCGAAAAATCGAAATCTTTGGTTGCAAAATCTATTGTTTAAAAATAAAATCGTTTTTTTTTGCGATTTTCAAAATGTTTTGATTGGTTTTGATTGATTTTGGGGCGCTGATTTCGAAAATATTATCCGTTTTTGGATAAATCCACATACACCCCCCCGAAAAATCAAAATCTTTGGTTGCAAAATCGATTTTTCTCTAAAAAAAATCGGCTTTCTTCGCGATTTTCAAAATGTTTTGATTGGTTTTGATTGATTTTGGGACGCTGATTTCGAAAATATTATCCGTTTTTGGATAAATCCACATACCGCTGCGAAAAATCGAAATCATTGGTAGCAAAACCAAAATTTTACTAATGAAATTAAATTTTTTTTTCGCGATTTTCAAAATGTTTTGACCGATTCTGATAGTTTTCGAGGTGCTGATTCCGAATATGAAATCAGTTTTTGGAAAAAAAAATTCTTCTGCCTTTGGTACCAAATTGAAGTTTGAAAAATTGCCAACTTTGAAGCTGATTTTAACTATGAAGACGATGATAAATTTGTATTTTTTTTGGTTTGGTATAAAGGTTGTACTTTAGTCTACACAAAGCATTAATTAAAATTATTAATTTCATTCATTAAGTGCCTTAAAATTGCATTTGAAAGTCACGATTTTGGCCAATTTTGGCTGCTCCTGATAGACTGTCTTTTTATCGAAAAAATAATAAGATTTTTAAATTACACCAAAGTAGGTTTGGTTTGCTGCTAACCAGGCGTAAATATGAATTTATTAAAAATTATCCTCCTACTTTTTCTTATCTTTTATATATATATATATATACACGCGTATATATATATGCGTATATATATATATATATATATTATTATATATATATATATATGCGTATATATTTTTATTTATATATATATATATATATATATATATATGATTTAGTAGTTAATTTTGATGTTGAAATATATGAGTGAGTTCTTGAGGGCGATACTACTATCGCCTATCGCCCTCAAGAACTCACTCATATATATATATATATATATATATATATATATATATATATATATTAGGGTGGTCCTTAAATTGGTCATTTTCGAATTTCCTTGCTCCAGGGGCTCAAATGGTTCCAAATAGATAAAAAACAATTCTCTGAAAGTTTTAGCTCTTAATATTAACGTTTAGATAGAGCGCAATTCAATCAAAGTTTTGTATGGAAATAGCATGGAAAATTTTCAAAAGTTTAAAAATGTTTTTTTAGATGTAATTTAGCGAACAAACGAATGAATAAAACTCATTCATTTGTCGCTAAGTTATACCTAAACATTTTTTTTTAATTTCAAAAATTTTTTCCATGCTCTTTCCATACAAAGTTTGATTGAATTGCGCTCTATCTAAACGTTAATATTAAGAGCTAAAACTTTCAGAGAATGGTTTTTATCAATTTGGAACCATTTGAGCCCTGGGAGCAAGGAAATTCGAAAAGACCATTTAAGGACCACCCTAATATATATATATATATTATGTTGATTTTTGTAATACTGACACTCAATAAATTTAATTCTATCTATATGTCGCCTATCGCCCTCAAGAACTCACTCATATATATATATATATATATATATATATATATATAATATATATATATATTATGTTGATTTTTGTAATACTGACACTCAATAAATTTAATTCTATCTATATGTCTTATTTATTTACACAGTTTGAAAAATTATTGGTTCCAAATATTTTTTTCAGTCAAATGGGGTTCGAACTGGCGAACTTTGAATTGATATTCTGGCCTCAATCGTATCTTTACGACCTCGGCCATTCGCACATTTGGCATACTACATTTTTAGGAAACTTATATCTTTCAGTTTGAAAATGATACTTTATATTTAAAAAAAAAGACTGCGGTTTCGAGTAACCAATTGGCCGAGATCGTTAAGTGACCGCTAAGATTGCTCAGCGTGTCTCGGATCGATTCCAGAAGAGGCACAAAAAATCGAATGTATAGTTTTTCATAATTATCAAATATTAGTTCAAAATATTAAATTTCAGGTGTCGCATTTCGACCTTGACACTTAGAATATTTCTGAAAAATTCAAGGTTCGCACTTGACTGTAAGAAGAGAGATAATAAAGAGAAAAAAAAAAAAAGTAGAGGAAGAACTGGGGAAAGAGAGGGGTAGGGCAGATGATGAATAAGAGAGATGTGTATGATACATATTCTTTATTAAAATTCAATATTATACAATATAGGAATAAAAATAACTTTTATCATCAATAACTTAAATAGCCGAGCGGTTTAAGGGACCGCATACTCGGTGAAATCACTCTGGAGGCAGGCACAAGGTGAGACGGATCGAGTCCAGCTGAAGGCGACGACGAGCAACTCTGAAG